ATACTATATATATATATAATTACTTTCTTAAAACAAAATCTCGGATTCTAAACTTTTGAATGGTAGTGTGTGTTCCTCCTTAGCTGTTCCTTAGTTGAGCAAAATCAAGGTAAATATCACTTATGAACAAAATATTTTTTGATTGTGCTAGAATTCTGTCAACTTTATCTTATGAAAAAAATGTGATAAAATATTGAACATGTATTTATGGTACTAGAATATGAAATTAGCCTTAGTAAGTCAACGTCTCTATTGAAAATATAATTTCCATAACATATTTATTTGGCATTTTGAGATGTGGTGGAAAAAAAAACATTTGTCCATGGATAAAAAGTTCTGAGATGCATGTATTATTCGCTCTTGTAAATTATTAGGAGACAAATAAATGAGTCAGTTTGAAATGTGTGATCATAGTTTAAGAAACATCCTGTCTGCATTAAGCTGGATGTTGTGTTCTGCGGCTCTGGGCAGGATAGGTTATCAACACCCTGTGTGCACAGATATGTTAAACAGCCCAAAGGACGCCCTTATTCCGGCCCTTTTAAGCTTAGTCTGCCAGGCAGTCATCATTGTCACTTTTTAATTTTCCAGAATGCCCCAGGGCCAGCGCTGACGTGGCCTCAAGGGCCCGTAGCTGTCCAATCATGTTCTCAGGTTGCAGTCTTAGTGTGTATGTGTGGGCCGAGCGCCCCGTAATAAAACAGGAGAAATTATTAAACAGAACTGACACAGCATACAATGACATCTCAATGCAAATCTGCCGTTCCCACCAGTGTCTCACAAAAAAACGGCAGCGGTTTTCTATAATCTTCACTAAGTGCCGTGAATGACCGACCCTTTCTTTCTCTATCTCCATTTATAGTGTGGAAAACAATGGATCCAGCTCCCAGAGCTCCATGCTTTTTTCATTTCCTTTTCATTCTTCTCTTTCAGAACCCTCCACGGAAATGACCTTTCAACTATTCCGGAGGGAGCCTTCAGCCACTTGACATCTCTGTCTCATCTGTAAGTGTGTGTGTGTGTGTGTGTGTGTGCACGCGTTTTTGTGACATATGAGGACACAAATTTGTATAATGACATGGGTATGACATAGGTATTACAAGGAGAAGGTGACTTATGAGGACATTACCCCATGTCCCCATTTTTCAAAACGCTTATAAATCATAGAGAGTGAGTTTTTTTTTTGAGAACGTAAAAATGCACAAAGTTTCCTGTAAGGGGTAGGTTTAGGTGGTTGGTGTAGGGCAATAGCACATACAGTTTGTACAGTATAAAAACCATTACGCCTATGGAATGTCCCCACAATTCACAAAAACACACGTGTGTGTGTGTGTGTGTGTGTGTGTAAAAGCGTGCTCTCTCTGCCTCTGTTAATGATGGACTCCCAGTCTCAGCCTTAGAGACCAACTCAGGTCTTTAGACTCAATGTAAGTTTTACCTCATTACCGGGTGCAACCTAGAGAGAGAGAGCAGCCTTGTGCTCTGCGCTCAGAGACCGAGCCCCACAGGAAATCTTTGTAAATTTTATTACAGCTAAAAGGCATCTATTATGGAGGCTTATGGTGGTGCTGTTTTTTTCCTCTCTGGCTGTAGTTCCTCGGCCGGTTTGGAGCGGGGTTACTGTAGCTCCTTGTTTCCTCATTGAAAAGAACTGTCAGAAAAAAAAAATCCCCATTGAGGAATAAAGGACCTGTTGAATTGAAGGAAGTGCACTTGGGAAGAAGTTGGCTTTGTAATGAAGAGTTGAACTCACAAGGAAAAATACACTAGACTAACGAATCATACTGATATTTCTATGCATTTATGCTTTCAAACACCTGGTTCCTGTCATCCAGGGCTCTAGGTGCGAACCCCCTGTACTGTGACTGCGGGCTGCGCTGGTTGTCTCAGTGGGTGAAGGCTGGGTTTAAAGAGCCTGGCATCGCCCGCTGCGCTGGACCACCAGACATGGCCGACCGCCTGCTGCTTACCACCCCTCTCAGTCAATTCCAGTGCAAGGGTGAGTCTCATTTCTGTCTTCTCTCTTCGTGGTTAACACATCTGCAGCGGACACGTTGAGCCATGGTGCTCATGTGGGAGACACAGATTTTAGTTTGGTCTGTGCCATGTCCTGGGTCAATTTCCGCTCTCTTTCTCTCCCTAAATAATATCCTGTCCTTTTTCCGTTGTTTCTATCAGTAAAAAGTCTCCAAAAAGGAAACTTCCAAAAAGTAAGCAAAAAAAAAAAGGTACAAAACTGTCACTGGGGCAGTATCCTAAGTGCAAAAGCTAAAAGTACATCTTTGTACCTTATTTACCCCAAAATGGTACATATTGGTACCTTTTGAAAGTGTACCACCCCAGTTTAGTACCTTTTTTTCTGAGATTGTGTAAGTTATGCATTTGCAATGCCATTGTTTTCATGATAAATTACATTTTGGAACGAAACAAGATATTTGAGGAGAAAAAAAAAACTGTAGGGTATGACTTGATTTTATTCAGTCATAACTGGTTGGATCATGAAAAGTGGACATTACTTACCAGAATGGAGTCAGGTTGAAAAGGGACGGTTTGAAAAATAAGATGTGATGTTATCCAAAAAGAGCAGTCTTGTTATCATTAACTACAGCTTAAAACTGTTAAAATAGTTTAAGTTATCAGTTAAGTTATAAGTTTTTAGTTATTTTCATTAACTAAAATTAAATTAAATAAAATATAAATAATAGATGAAAAAAAACTTTAAGAACAAGAATTAGACATGTTGCCTTGAACGGAAAAGTTTAAGTACTAAAAACCTAAAATTGATATAAAATAAAGCTAAATATAAATATTTAAGAAAATCTAATAAAATTATTAAAGCACTTAACTAAATTATTAAAACTGGAAAAGAAAAGTGTATTCAAAATAATAAATGCATACTATAACAGTACATAAATACTGCAAAAACAACAGTTTCAGTGGAAGAGACAAGTTCATATATTTTGGTAAAAGTTTTATTTTTTCTAGTAATGGCATGCACAGATATATTGTTTCGCAAGTAAATATGTGACCCTGGACCACAAAACCAGTCATAAGGGTCAATTTTATGAAATTGAGATTTATACATCATCTGAAAGCTGAATAAATAAGCTTTTGATGATGCTGATGATGATTTTCATAGCTGATGTATGGTTTGTTAGGATAGGACAATATTTGGCTGAGATACAACTATTTGAAAATCTGGAATCTGAGGGTGCAAAAAATCTAAATATTGAGAAAATCACTTTTAAAGTTGTCCAAATGAAGTTCTTAGCAATGCATATTACTAATCAAAAATTCAGTTTTGATATATTTACGGTAGGAAATTTACAAAATATCTTCATGGAACATGATCTTTACTTAATATCCTAATGATTTTTGGCATAAAAGAAAAATCGATAATTTTGACCCATACAATGTTTTTTTGGCTATTGCTACAAATATACCCAAGCGACTTAAGTTTTTTGGAGCACAAAACTTAAGGTTTTGTGCTCCAGGGTCACATATGGCCAGGTTTGTTTCATGTTGACCTTAATGTCACCTCCATTCCCTTTTATTTCTGGTTCCCTTTCTCATCCACACATTTATACTTCACATTTTGTGTTGTGTGTTTCAGGTCCAGCAGATTTGAATCTGATGTCCAAGTGCACCCCCTGTCTGGCGACTCCCTGTCAGAACAACGGCACATGTGTGAGTGATGTCACGGGCTCCTACCACTGCACCTGCCCTTTTGGCTACAAGGTGAGTGAACATCCACCACCCCACATACAACACATCCTCGGCTAGCGTCTTTCCTGTCCTCCTGCACGCGTGTACAGAATACTCCTATGAGTTATGTGCATCATTACATGCAAGAGAGCCTCATCATCCATCTTCCCGAGCTGAACTCGCTGTCTCTGAAGTTTCTTGATTAGTTCCTATTGTACTCAGGCAGCCGTTGTTTGTGTAGTGGATACGTACTCGGTAGTGTGACCTTGACGGTGGGGTCTTGGGCTGTGGGCAAATGCATTGCAAGAGATGTGAAGAATGTGAGCTGCTCTTCGAAGGCAATTTATTCAAAGACAAGCAGCTATGAGCAATTATGAGTGTGACCAGACGAGAGCATACAAAAATGTAAATTATGCGGCATCAATAGCAGTTCACTTCTGTGAGTTAGAACAGATTGCTTTATAAGCCAAACTTTAGACCATCGTTTCAAGCAGACTGGCTTGCAGATTGCTGATGCACATACGAAAACCACTTGAAAACCCAAGCAAACCAAAGTTTGACATCAAACAGACTCGGTTTTACACAAAAAGTGCTTTGCGAATGTGTCTGTGTGTGTCCTGGATGCAGCGCGCAATCATTACCCTTTTGTTTGGTTATGGGATTCCTGTCAGTGTTGTTCTGTTGAAGAACAGATAAGAGCTTAACCCTTCGCCCTCTACAAGACAGAACCAGTGAGCTGTCTTTTAATTAAAACCGCAGCTCTCAAGGTCAGTTGCAGGTGCGCGTCTGTCCTCGAAATAAGTGAAGATTAATTAGAATGTTCTAGAGTACTGAATTAAGTTAAACATGGGAAGAGAGAAAGAGAAAAAACAGAGGGACCGAGAGAAAGAAAACAGACATATGGACCCTTTGAGGAGAGCAGAGGAAACAGGCATATCAGTGGCAAGAGCCTTTGTCTGGAATTGAAATGGAGAGTGTTAGTCACGGAGTTACAGCCCCGGAGTGTAAAAGGATCAGGACAAGACATACATCTTCCATAAACCATGATATTAAACTAAACTCGGCTCTAGGCCTGGATATAGAAGTAGTAAACAAACAAGATTTTTACATTTGCTGAGGAAAATGTGAGTGGTGCTTGTCTGTGCAAAACTAACCACCACAATGCTGCAGGATAGGCTATGCAGGTAATATGTTCTGAGTGTTTTATGTTGCTATGTGGTTGCTAGGGTGTTCTGGATGGTAGTTAAAGGTTAGTTCTGTTGAAGAACAGATAAGAGCTTAACCGTTCGCCCTCTACAAGACAGAACCAATGAGCTGTCTTTTAATTAAAGCCGCAGCTCTCAAGGTCAGTTGCAGGTGCGCGTCTGTCCTCGAAGTAAGTGAAGATTAATTAGAATGTTCAAGAGTACTGAATTAAGTCAAACATGGGACGAGAAAAAGAAAAAAAACAGAGATGAGAGAAAGAAAACAGACATATGGGCCCTTTGAGGAGAGCAGAGGAAACAGGCATATCAGTGGCAAAAGCCTTTGTCTGGAATTGAAATGGAGAGTGTTAGTCACGGAGTTACAGCCCCGGAGTGTAAAAGGATCAGGACAAGACATATATCTTCCATAAACCATGATATTAAACTAAACTCGGCTCTAGGCCTGGATATAGAAGTAGTAAACAAACAAGATTTTTACATTTGCTGAGGAAAATCTGAGTGGTGCCTGTCTGTGCAAAACTATCCACCACAATGCTGCAGGATAGACTATGCAGTTAATATGTTCTGAGTGTTTTTATTATGTTGCTGTGTGGTTGCTAGGGTGTTCTGGATGGTAGTTAAAGGTTAAGGGATTAAAACAGATTCCTAATTATTAGTATGAGCAACAATGACCATAGAAAGCACCGCTAATCATTGCCTTTAATGTCCACTCCTTAACCCTGTTTGAAAGGTAAATTGCGGTTAACATTTAAGTTGACATTTTACTCAGAAATCATTATGTAGTAATGTAGATGATGGCTTTTTATTCCTTTAACCTCTTCACCTTTGAAAGTATCCATCTGATTGTGACCTTTGTCCCAGTATGTAGGGTCAGACATGTTAAAACCTGAGCTCGCTCTTTCCGCATCCATGCTCACAGGCTTTCTCTTTCCTCAGGGTCGTAACTGTGAGATCCCCATTAACGCTTGCATCAGCCTGCCGTGTGTTAATGGAGGCACATGCCACCTCACACCTGGACTGGATGGGTACTACAGGTACATTCAGAGCTGTATAAATGATATTCTGTCAGCCATCGAATAGCTGGGAAGTTGTTGGACCTGTGGCCTGAAATGTTGAGTTTTGGTGCAACATAAGTCTAAATGTAGCCTGCACAGTGTTTCCACTATCGCTATGAATACAAGTGTCAAAAAGGATATAAATAAGATTTAAAAACTGAAATAATTTGTTAAAATGCACGTCTGGACAAAATCTGTGTATTAAAATTTCAAAGCTTGTAACACCCCTGGACATTTGAACGAAGCAAGAGACAGGCAGATTGTTGTAATGGCACAATAAATGTCCCCCGTGTCCTATAAATCACCCAGCAACTTTGGTAATGTCACGTTAGGCCTCTATTCAATTTTTGTAGGGCAGCCGCTTCACATCCAGCAGGAGCAGAGTTGCACAATGACTTTACAAAAAAACAGCAACTGAGCCCAGAGATTCGTGTGTTTTTATATTTCTGGGGGTGGAATATATCGGTTGCTGGCGTAGCTTTTGAGAGTTGGCAGCCAGAGGGCAGGGACTGGGTGAAAGGGTACAGATGGGTGTGGGCTCTGCTAAACAGTGAGATAAGTTTTACTGCTATTGCTCAAGTCACCATGGAGATGGAGGTTTATCAAACACTGAGCCTCAGTCACTGATGGATCTGACCTACAAGTCTTACGGATAGGAACAGAAAGCCAAAACAACAAAGAAAAATACAAATATTAGGGGCTGCTTGGAATTTCAGCAGGTAATTTGAGGTGGTGTAATTGAAACCAGCTCATTTTAGTCCCAGTGAAGATCGAGACCAGAACAGGGTCGAGTCTGAGTCAGAGAGCGAAACCGGAAGAGGGTCGAAGTGGGATCAAGATCAAGATCAAAAGAGGGTTGAGTCTGATTCAAGACCCAAAAGAGGGTTGAGTCTAAGTCACAAGCGAAAACAGAAGAGATTGAGTCTGAATCAAGACAGAGACCAGAAGAAGGTCAAGTCTGAGTCAGGGCCGAGACCAGAAAAGGATCAAATTTGAGATAAGACTAAGATTAGAAGAGAGTCGAGTCTTGGTAAAGACTGAAACCAGAAGAGATCAAGTCTGAGTCAAGACCAAGACCAGAAGAGGTTCGAGGTGGGGTCCAGGCCAAGATCAGAAGAGGGTCAAGTCTGATTCAAGACCGAGATCAAAAGAGGGTTGAGTCTGATTCAAAACCCGAAAGAGGGTTGAGTCTGAGTCACAAGCGAAAACAGAACAGATTGAGTCTGAATCAAGACAGAGACCAGAAGAAGGTCAAGTCTGAGTCAGGGCCTAGACCAGAAAACTTCAAATTTGGGATCAAATTTGAGTTAAGACTAAGATTAGAAGAGAGTCAAGTCAAGTCTTAGTAAAGACTGAGACCAGACGAGATTTGAGTCTGATTTAAGACCAAGACCAGAAAAGGGTCAAGTCTGAGTCAAGACCGAGACCAGAAGAAATCAAGTCTGAGTTAAGACCAAGATCAAAATGAGGATGAGTCTGAGTCAAGACTGAGATCAGAAAACATTGAGTTCGAGTCAAGACTGACACCAGACGAGGATCAAGTTTGAGTTAAGACTGAGATTTGAAGAAAGTTGAGTCTGAGTCAAAACCGAGACCAGAAAAGTCGTCATGCTCCCAGCAAGACAAGACCAATACAATGAAAATATGGTTTTGAACTCAGACTCAAGAACCAAGACCATCAAAATATAGTCTTGGACTCATATTCAATGACCAAGAAAATATGGCTCAGACTCAAGGACCAAAACAGGCATGGACTCCAGGAGCATTTTGACTCAGACTCAAATGAGCTGGTTCTTCCATTATGTAGTCACCATCTTATTGCTTGTTTTTGGTGGAACAAAATGAGATGTTTAGCAAAATGTTTAGGCTGCTCTTTTCCTTCAAGAAAGTGAATGGTGACCAGTAGCTGTCAATCTTAATAGCTTAGAAAAGGACCATCTGTGCCATAAAAGTGAGTCCAGGTTTACTCTGTGTCTGAAGATCTTCTTCCAAAATCCCGATATTCTCAATAAACAAGAACGTATAGAGTGTTATAAATAAAGATCTTGTTTTGTGTTCATGCCAGCATTATAATTTGTGGCTGAACTATTCCTGTAATGTGTTCAGTGTGTGTTAAAACCAAAACTCAGTGTTCCTGTTGGCTGTGAGCAGTGCACTAATGAAGGATGTTGGGTTGACATTTAAAGACCAAACAATGAGACATAAATGGCAACAAATGACACTGTTCTGGCTGCAGACTTGAAAAAATCAGTCTGGCAGTATCAGGGTGTCACCCAACAGAGCTAAATCACTGAAACCCATGTGTTTCCTTTTGTTCTAAGGTTTGAAGTATTGATCATTGTCCTGTGCCTTCCCACTCCTCTAGCTGTGTGTGTCCGCCTGGGTATGAGGGCCAGCAGTGTGAGCTGAATCCTGATGACTGTGAAGACAACGACTGTGAGAATAACTCCACCTGTGTGGACGGCATCAACAACTACACCTGCATCTGCCCTCTGAACTACAGAGGTACCAGTTAAAGCTCATTAAGCCAGACTATAAATGCATTCGGAATGTTTCAGACTCTTTGTTACCATTTTCTTAGTCATATTGCCCTACTTGTCTGTCTCAGTCTTACCGCAATGAGGCCATTTCACTGGCAATACTGTGCCAATTGCATTTATATCCTCCAGCCACAACTGAGGTGGCTAAGAAAACATTAAGAAACCAAAATAATATACATGTTAAGACTGGTAGTGGGCAGTTTTACTAAACAAACCAGCTTTTGACAGAAGTCCTGACTAGGCAGATTTAAAATTCAGCTGTTGTTAAAACTGTCTGTTTATTTCCACTTCAGATCTGCCAAGTGGCATCCAGTGGCACAACTGCTCTTGTTCTCTCTTCTTTTCCTCAAAATAGGAAGTGCAACTGCTCCTAGCGGGCCCTGTCATTATAATGGCATTCCTCTTTGCCACCTCCCTTGGAGCGGGTGCACTTGGTGTAGAGAGTGTGTACTTGCTGCGGTATAAGCCTGGCCACATCCTTAAGCTCGTAGGGCACACACAGCTGTCCGGTTAAAGAGCACAGTCTTAAACTGAGTCTTAAACCAATCAAGAGAAAAATGTTATTGCTCAGAGATGGATCTTAATGGAGTCATTTGTACCAGGCTGGCTATAGATCAGACTCTCAACATAGAATATATTTTTTCATTAGTTTCATATCCAAGTATGTAATTATGTTGGTGAAATGAAAGGGGAGAAGGAAGGTTGAAGATTTAATATACTGATGATGTTTTCTTTTGTTTAACGTTATGCCCATGGGCATTGTGGGACTTGTATTGTTGTATTTTATAGTTGTATTGAGACTTATACTACCGTTTGGGGTTGGTAAGATTTTTTTTCTTTTTAAAAAAAATTAATACACTACTGTTAAATGTTTGAGGTTTTTTTCATTTTGATACAAATTAACACTTTTATTCAGCAAGGATGCATTAAATTGATCAAAAGCGACGGTGAAGACATTTATAATGTTACAAAAGCTTTCTATTTCAAATAAATACTGTTCTTTTTCAGCATATTAGAATGATTTCTGAAGGATCACATGGCTGCCAAAAAAATTCAGCTTTGCATCACGGAAATAAATAACATTTTAATATATATTTAAATAGAAATATTTTGTCATTTTAATTATTTGTGATAATATTTCACAACATTGCATTTCACAACACAGTCTTTTTGATCAAATACGTGCAGTCTTCTTTTTCGAGCATTAAAAAATCAACCCCAAACTTTTTAAGTAATGTAATGTAAGCATACCAACAGAAAAATGTTGCAAAATGTCATTATGCCCCAAACAAGGCAAGGCAACCCTTACCAAAAAGTAGTATACTTCAAGTTGATTTTATTAAGTATGTTATATGAATATCTAAACATACAAAACATCAAAGGAAAGAACAAGGTATCTGCTTGTAAACAAAAATATTTTATTCTAGCTTCATGTATTCTTTTTTAAACACTTGAATGTGGGTAAGTTTCATAAATAAAAAATAAATTAATAAACAACATTTTGAACAAAAAGCTGAATAAAGACTATGAATTGGATTCAGAATGATATAATCAAAACGTAGATGGAGTCGATCAACACCCCAAAGCTTGACAGTCATTATTACCTCTTCATTGGTCGACATTTTATTCCATAACGTTACACAGTTTTGATGCTGTTTTATGTCTGATGATCGTGTTAGATTACATGTGGAAAGCATCTGTTGTTTCAGTTTCTTCTTCACTTGTGTTTTTTTTGTTGTTTTTTTTTGTACAGAAGATGTGTACTAGTGCCCCCTACCGTATAACAATGAAAACACGGATTCTAGGAGCAAAAGTATAGCTCAAATATAATTAGACTTTTTTTAAAGTATAATTCAAATATACTTAAATGTCATTTTAAGTATATTTCTGAGAAGTACATCAAATATACTTAAATGTCATTAAAAAGTAGACTAAAAGTATACGTTCCTATTTTTTAGTTTAAAAGAAGTATACTAATAGCACTTGAATAAACTTCTTTTTCGTAAGGGAATTTGGTGCTTCAGTCCTTGTTTAATGTTGAACCTTCACACTTTGCCAAAGGTCAAGTCTTCCTTCTCCATTTTCATTGTATTTCTGTATCTCAGTTTGTGTTTTAACAACTGAGGATTGTTCTGTATTAACGTCAGTCAGCACAAATCTTACCACCAGCATCCAGAATTGATTTAAGAACCCACAGCTTGAGCTCTTTGCCAGACTCCAGCCTGTGAGGTGCTTGCAGGAAACATCAGCTGTAGACACCGACTGCACTGATTCCATGAAGAACACATACAGTTGCTGCAGAAAGGGTCTAGAGGAAATTGGCCTTGCAGCAGACCACCTAAACACTGTCTCGAGGGCCTGAGCACGGAGAGGGTACATCTGTTTCTGAGCTGCTGCTGTGCCATGCAACTAGCAACACCAGCACAAGTGTGCTGGACAGGAAATGCTAGGAATCTGGGTGAACGAGTGCAGGGATGTGGAGGTTGGATTAGACCCAGTATGGACTGTTGCAGGGCCAGACGTCCTACAGCAAGTGGACAGGAACAGGGAACGTATTGAAGGTTCTGGTTGGCAGTGATTTAGTGCCTCCGAATGGAGCCTGCTGAGCTGTGTGCTCTAGAATGACTTTGCCATCACACAAAGATGTTTTCAGTTGAGCCTGGAGGAGAAAAAGCCTCACACAGTCTAAATGCTGGCAGATGGTGTGAGGGGCTAAAACACCTCGAGGAGGGTCTGTATATTCAGTCAAAGAGTTCCTTTAGCCGCACGACTGTGCGCTTCACCCGTATACAGCAGAGGCCCTGAGTGTTTCAGCATGTGATAAACCTCCGGACGCTGGGAGATGGCAACTGTTAGAGTCATTTGTTCCCTTTCTTTGTGTGTCTCTTAGGTGATCTGTGTGAGGAGGTGATTGACCCCTGTCTGCCCGGGTTTGACCTCTGCCAACACGACTCTAAGTGTGTTCCCCTCAGTAAGGGCTACAGGTGAGTGTGTGAGCTCCTCTGGTCAGAACTTCACACGAAAGACAACATGACCTGCCTGTGCTGCCTGCAATAGAGCAACAGTCGGGTTCTGGAAAGTAAAAGCTCCATTCATTTTCTCCATTAGGAAAGTGAGTGTAACAATACAAGACAGACCTGTTGTGAGCTCTGAGGATGTATGCTTTTCTTCAGCCCAACTGTTCACATGAATTCAACTTATTTTTAAAATAATTGTTTAATAGCAGAATCTGTGATGAAAAACTTACCATGATGCTGTACAGAAAATTCCACCAATCAGTGGTCGCAGTGTGCCAAAAGAGATCTTTAGCTCCACCCACTCCCATGAAGCACTGCGAATGACATATATATATATTTTTTTGTTTTGTTTTTTGCTGCAAAAACTTAACACAACCAACAACTATAGAGTAATAGCTTTTTATTTCAATTGGCAGTGCTTTATGGGATTGTAGTTCTTTCACTCACTAAAACTGGAAAGTACATAGTCATGTAATTTGTCACTTTGTCTTTGTCCACTTTTCATATACTTCTTTAAATGGTTTGGTTTATGGCTTATAATGCTTGAACAAAGACCTTTTTTTTAAATGCTTAAACAAAAGAGAAAAGTCTTTTGGAACCAGTGTTGTTGAAAAAGTGGGTGTGCACTAATGCACTCTGTAGTTGAAATCTCATTATCACTGCCAAGTGATTAACAGTGTTTTAAAATTACCGAGCATTAGGACACCCCTTTTTGCTAGCAATTTTTTTTAGCATCTAAACTGTTGTTGTTGTTGTTGTTTTCCTTCAGGTGTGAATGTTTGCCGGGTTATGTTGGCCAGCACTGTGAGCAGGATTACAACGACTGTCTGGAGAACAAATGCCAGCATGGAGCAGAGTGTAATGACGCTATCAACGGATACACGTGTGTGTGCAAGGAGGGGTTCAGGTGAGACTCGTGCATCGTTCACACTCACATGCCTGCATTTACTTATTTAAATAAGCACACATCATAGAATTCTGTTGTTTCTGTTGTAAGTTAATTACTGTAAAACTGTTAAAGACTAATCCGAGCCTAATCCATACCTCTACTCCTAAAGGAAAGGTAAAAAAAACTTACTTTATTTATGAATCATTTAGAATTATTTTATAATAATAATAATAATATTATCCTAATATTTTAATAATATTATTATATAGTATATTAAAAAATATATTTTTTAAAAATATATATTTTAAATAGTAATAATACTTAAATATAAAATATAAAAACTGTTGACAAATATTGACCTAATCTATTAATTCTTTATTCATAATTTCCCCTTTTTTACTCTTCACATTTATGTCTGCAAAAGTGAAAGTAGGTTAGAAATCACTCAAAAAGCATGCACATACTTTTCTGATAACTAGGATACTTGCACACCTGTGTTCATTATGATTATGAAAAGCTTGATAGATGCAAACATATACACGCTTACACACACACACTGCAAGCTTCTGTTGGTCCTTTGTTATATGATAGTGTGTAGTTAAATCTGACATGCACAGACGATGAATATCCATATGGCTAATTATAACATTAGGGTGTGTGTGTGTGCGTGTGGCATTGTACAGAAGAAGAATAGCTCTCTCCCCAGCATCCCTCACTCCACTACGGCTACTAATTAAGGGCCTGATGGTGTCTTGAGCCCCACATTAATCTGGCTTACCACCCATCCTGACACTCTATCAATATTCTAACACTGTCTTCATCTCTTGTGTGAATTAGATTTAAGAAAGAAAGAAAGAAAGTTAAAAGTGCTTGAAAAATTGCTTATATTGTTTTCAATAATATACTATACTAATATAATATTCAATAATAATATAGGCATAGGATGGTATAAAGGCTTTTATCATGGTATATTATCACGATATTGAAATAAGTTGCAAAAAAAGTGTTGTTATACTATAACAGGTATGATAAACAAAACTATACATTTTTGTGTGTTGCTTTATTGTTTATAAATGTTCAAAGTAAACAAGAATTATAGTTTAAGTGCAATAGGTAAGAATTTACAATAAGGTCTCATTAGTAATGCATTAACTAACATTATGTGAAATAGCTACATTTGTTACACAAGGTATCTGTTAATGTTACAGAAGAATATTAACATTATAGTTAAAAAAACACTGAATTTTCTTAGTATTCTTAGAATGCATTCGAAAAATCTGAGTAATGAATAATAATTTACAGTATTTTGAGGTGCCCACGATAACAATATCATGCATGTTCATTATTATGATATTATTATTACTGTTTATCGGCACATGTCTATAAAATACTTTATATTCAAGAAGGTTTCCTGAAGGATTGAAGACTGGAGTAATAATGCTGAAAATTCAGCTTTGCATTACAGGAATAAATTACATTCTAACATAATATTCAAATAGAAAATTGTCACTAAAAATATTTCACAATATTATTTTTACTGTATTTTTCATCAAATAAATGCAGCGCTAGTGAGCATAAAAGACGTCTTTCAAAAACAGTAAAAAATAATCCTAATTATTCCAAACTTTTGACCCTCACCCACTCTCTTTCCTTAGTGGGCTGTTCTGTGAGACTCCTCCACCAATGATATTACTCCAGAAGACGAGTCCATGTGATCAGTCTTACTGTCAGAATGGAGCGCAGTGTCTGGTCGTGGAGGGAGAGCCCGTGTGCCGGTGTCCACCTGGCTCCAAGTGTCATAAGATGGTCACAGTGCACTTCCTCGGCAAAGATACCTATCTGGAGCTCTCGGGCGCCAAGATCCGACCACCCATGCACATATCCCTCCAGGTATGCCTGTAAACCACTTCCTGTAATGCTTAACAAAGGGTCCCAGATCAGTTTCTGTAATATAGACTTCACATATCACTAGCCTCAGGGACAGTCTGCGTATCAGCCGAACTCACACCTGCAGCCATGAGAAGCGATCTGCCTCTCTGTCTAGGTCTTTTTTCATCCGCAGTGCCTGGTCTAAGCCAGCTTTGGCCTCTTTGACATTATGAGAATGTCACCTCTTGTCCACCTGCGTGAATAATTATTCTCCTGAGGACATATATTACGGTAATAGAGGTTGAGCCGGCTGTTATCCGTTGCCCTGCGTAACCGCTAGATCTGCTACAAATGATCCTATCTTCTCACCGTCGAGAGGGCACACTAATGTTAATTAAAGTAGGAGAAATTAAAAAGAGCTCAGTAGCTTTTTATCTCCTTGTGGACGTCAGCATCTTTCCGTTTCGGTTTCTCCGAGAGGCCTTTGTGAGTTAAGTAATGGTGCTTTCTAAACCAACTCTGAATTTTTGGCGAGAAGAGAACATAGACAATGAGGTTTTAAAATGAAAAAGTGCATATCTATGATCTGTGAAGTTCAAACTGCAATGTTTCATGTTTGTTTATTTTTTCATTCATCACATTCCATTAAGTGGTTTCAATGGCAAGGCCATTCAGATAACCCTTACCAAAAAGTAGTATACTTCAAGTTTATTTTATTAAGTATACTTAAGTAAAGTTCAAGTATATTTTTAAGTATACTTTATGTAGTACGTATACAAATATCACTGTACTAGTAGTATACTTGTAAGTGTACTATTTCAATACTCCTTGGGACTAAATTGGCCCACTTTCTAATATATAAAAGTATACTTTTAAGTATAACAGTAGTAAACTTTAAGTACACAACTAGTTTACAACAAT